TTTTTTTGGTTTTTCTCCGGTACCGGGAACCGAACTCACGACGTTGCGCTTGCCAGGCAGGCGCTTTTGCCGCTGAGCTAAATCCCCAGCCCCAAGAACAAATCTTAATATTACATGAGTACAGATAAAAATCAGTGACATGCATTAAGTACCTGTTGTACAATAATTCAATCATTTATTCATTTGCACTTTCTCTAAATATTAATGAAAATCAAAAGGTAGAAATCACATTTCTTCTTTACAACTTACATAAAAAATAAAATTTCCTAAAAAAATAAGAGAATAACAATAGTTAAATTACCTTTTTAGTAATTAACTGTATTCTTTATAGAACGGCAAAAAAACAAAAGTGGGGAAACAGTTGTTCTAAAATTGAAGGATTGCCCTTCAGGAGAAGACTTTAAGACTATGATGCCAGCAAGGTACATCTTTTGAAACTTCATTTTGACTTTTGAAGTTGAACTGAGATTATCCCTAGAGATAGGATAAGTAACTGCAGGCGTAACCTTTAGGTTTTGTTTTGTTTTGAAGTAGTGTTGTTCAGTAATGTTTAGGGAAGTACAGTAAAATTTTTAGTATCATTTCTGTGTTGTGCTTGCCAATGTGTAGTACATTAATTTAATAACTGTGAAGGAGGTCAGGGGATTTGTCACCTATTACAGGTTGTCTAATGTTTTAAACAACTTGAATATTACATATTTAGATGCACTTTAAAAATTCCAGTCTTAATAAAAACAAGACAATGTTATTATTCTTCAGATATGAAGATCTCTTAAAAAATCTGCCATTGCCGGAGTATTGTAATCCAGAAGGAAAATTCAATTTGGCCTCTCACCTGCCGGGGTTTTTTGTACGTCCTGATCTAGGACCTAGGTTGTGTAGTGCCTATGGTAAGTATGTAGTCACATTTCTCTCAGATTGTAACAAGATGGGATTTTAATAAATTTCTGTCCAAAGATAAATTGTCTAGTAGTTTTTTTAGTGTCTCTAAATGTTCTTTTGGTAAATCTATTAAAATCCTTTTTCATATGAAATAATTGTTACAAACAACCAGAATTTATTTATGTGCAAAATTTTATGTACATTTCATATTAATTTGCTTTTTGTAGTACATTTTTATAGACTAGCTTTTAGGAGCAGGATTTTTGTAACAAGAAGTCTGAAAACTCAAATTATAATTAGATTACTTTGATATTCTGATTTTAGGAGATTGTCTGATACCTTACTAGCTAATGTAATACAGCTAAGTAAAAATCTTACTTTATACACAGGTGTAGCTGCTGCTAAAGATCATGACATAGGAACAACAAATCTCCATATTGAAGTTTCTGATGTTGTAAATATTCTAGTCTATGTTGGCATAGCAAAAGGAAATGGAATTCTCTCAAAAGCAGGTAAAGAGACTAGAAGAATGGTTGTCTTAAAGTTGAATAACGGTGTGCACTAGTTTCATACAGCAAATCAGCCTCTGAGTTAACAGCAAAGATTACAAAAACAATTGCAGTGGCGGCAACAATATTCTAATCTTTTATTACTTGAAGGCAGGTGTTTTTTAACATAAAAGAAATGTAATTTTAAAAGTAAATATCCTTAAGCTGGGCATGGTGGCACATGTCTGTAATCCAAGCACTCGGGAGGCTGAGGCAGGAGGATCGCTGCAAGTTTGAGGCCAGCCTGGGCTATACCATGAGTTCAAGGCCGGCCTGAACTGCATAGTGAGACCGTGTCTTAAAAATACACGCACACATAAAAGCATATTCTTACCTGTTGCATTCCTATCGTTGTACTTATGAAAGTACATTGTTAAACTCACTGGTAAACATGTATGAAAGAAGAAAAACTAGATTTTAACAGATAATTTCAGATGTGGTTTGTGAGCACTCAGGAGGATTGCTGTGAGTTCGAGTCCGGCCTGGGCTACAAAGTGAGTTCAAGGCCAGCCTGAACTGCATAGCGAGACCCTGTCTCTAAAAGACAAATGAAAAAAAATGTATTTTCTGTTTCAAGTATTCTTGTGTTTTGTTTTGTTTTGTTTTGTTGGTTTGTTTTTTGTCCCCTCTCCCAGGATCAGAGAGAAAGGGGGCCTTTTTCCTAAGTAGAAGGGACCTGTTTAGTACATAGTTTTTATTTTCCATTCTCTGGAATTCTCTTGGAAGCCTTGCTCCATTGCATTAGATACACAGTCATAGGTCTTTATTTCATATATAGTTTTTTATTTTGCAGTATTAGGAACAGAACCCAGTGCCTCCACCCTGAGCTACTTCCCCAGCTCTCTGTATTTTTCATTTTAAAACAGGGTCTCAGGAGTTCCTCAGGTGAGAGTTGAACTTCTGATCCTCCTGCCTCTGCCTCCCAAAGTTTTGAGATCACAGGCATGCAGTGCTGCGCCCCACAAGCCATAGGTCTTTTCCTCTCCATTTGCCTCTCTTCAGACTCCAGGATCAAGGTTGTGGCTCAGTGGTAGAGCTCTTGCTTGGCATGTGGAGGCCTTGGGTTCGACCCACATACCACAAAATAAATAAGGAATAAGAGCAGACTCTATTACTTCTTTCTCTCTGACAAGTGAACTACCTTCCCTCCTAGCAAATCTTTTGCTGACTTTGTTACCTCTCTTTTGCATTTCAACTCATGTCAGTGTTATTCTTGTATCTACTTGAAATCAGTGTTCCTACTGCTTCCACTGATACAGATTTAGAAAACTGAGTTATTACCTTCTGGTCCATTTTATTTCACTCACCTCCCTCTGTAAGAGTGGTGTTGTTAATTACTACTGTAGGCAACTTTCCTGCATGGGTGCAGTGCGTGGACAGCAGAAAGGACGAGAGGCTTAATTTGGCTCATAGTTGCAGGGGATTCAGTCTGTGATCAGCTGACTCCAAGGCAGGAGCATCGTGATGGAAAGGTATGGTGGAGCACAGCTCCTGAAGTCCCAGCAGCTGGAGAGCAGAGCTGGGTGACAGCACTGGAGAGTAAGGGGTCAGGTATCAGATACAGACCCCAAGGTCATGCCTCCATGACCTGCCAGACAGGCCTGGAAGTGTGCCTTACTAATCCTCTAGACGGCACCCAACCCAGTCAGATTGGCAGGTAAGCCTAATGGTCACACAGTCCCTTTTTCAGAGTGATGCTTCTGTGGCATTCCTGCCCTGGTTCTGACACTTCATGGACAGACGTTCCTAGAGTTATGTTCTCCAGCTTTTTCTACCTCTGCGTTATTGTGAATTTCTGTACAAGCCTCTGGCCACCCTTTAGATCCCTACTCCTATATCTGGGGCTCAAAGTGGATCTGCAGTGTAGTGGATAGATAAAGAGACATAAAGATGCATTATAGTATTCACTCTGCTTGTGTACACTTGACAGTTTCTGTAGTACACAACCTGTTTCTTCTGAACTATAGAAACTTCCTGATCACTCAGCTTTCTTAACTGATATTTACTGACTATAATAGATAAACCTCTACCCCAAGGATTAGAGACACAGGCATACTTGAATTGTAATCCCAGCTCTACCAAAAGAACATGTGTGACCTTTGGTTCAGATCATTTATCCTTCCTAAGCCTGTGATGATGCAGAGTTGATTCTCTTTCCTGTAGGTGATTGTACTTCATTTAAATTGTCCCTGTAGTATCTCTACTACAATAGAGAAGTTACACTTCATTTCTCCACTGTTACTTGCTCATGTCCGTAGGTCCTAAAAATTTCTTACTTACTGATGTTCCTGTATATTCCTTATTCCCTGTTCCTTCTATAACATTTGGTCTTTCTAAGACAAATTTTGAACATTTTAAAGACTTTTCGGCTATCTATCTGAAATTGTTCTTTTGGTCACAAAGAAGGCAGTGTTTTAGGTTATACTAATAGAGTTCGGCGTGGTGGTGCATGCCTGTAATCCCAGCACTCGGGAGACTGAGGCAGGAGGATCGTTGCAAATTCGAGACTAGCCTGGGCTAGAAAGGGAGCTCAAGGCCAGCCTGAACTGCATAGTGAGACCCTGTCTCAAAAAGACAAAAAAAAAAAAAAAATAGGTTATACTAATAAAACACATGAAGAAATACTGGCCTCCTTAAAGCTTCTTCCTCTACTTACTGTGGCTCTCCTGCTTCTTTATCTTCTGCTCACATTCCTATATTTATCCTTCAGACTGTAACTCAGTACTGTCTCACCCAGGAGGTAGAAGGAAGTTTACTCCTTGTCAGTCATCCTCTTTCTTACAGTGAATCCTCCCCCTTTTTACATTTATAGAGCAGTAAAATTTAAAGGGAAAAAAATTCACTCTGTTTCTAACTTGTTAAGCAAATAATATTGTTAAAATATTAGCTATTGTTTTTCATGAGAAGATTTTGAACTCTAACCCAAAGTGATACAGTGGAAGGGTAGTCTTTTGTGGTATACATTTAATGTTGTCCTTAATTTCCTTGTCTTATCATGGATTGGGGAAAAAACTTTGTCCAGGATAACATCTGAGGACTAAACCAGTCTTTGATGTCAGGAAACATCTAATATATCCTTGTTAGGGAGGCATTGTTTGTTTTTTGACACCGGGAATTGAACTCAGGACCTTGTGCTTGCCAGGCGAGCACTGTGCTGCTGAGCTGTATTCCCTGCCCTAGGGAGGCAGAGACAGGGTCTTGCTATGTAGCCCAGGCTGGCCTCAAACTCACAGCAGTCCTCCTGCCTCAGCCTCCCAAGTGCTGGGATTACAGGCATGCACCACCACACCCAGCTTTATATATCCTTTTTGGGAGGCAGTAGCTTTCTCCTCTTGAAAAGAAAATTTATTTAAATTATGTACTTTGTGAAGTCAAGAATTTGATAAACTGAGCATGCTGTTACATGCCCCAGTCCCAGCACTAGAAATCTGGTGCAGGAAGATCATAAGCTTGAGACCACCACCCTGGGCTACATAGTTATTTCCAGGACACCCAGACACATAGCAAGATCCAATTGCAAAGAAAAGAATTGAAGAAGACCTTCCTATAGTTCCACACTTGGCGATCACAACCATAGTGGATATTTTCATTTGTACACTTCCACAATTCTTTGTGTATATACAAGTATGTATATGATTTTTAAACATTTTAGAAGTGTGGCCTAGGCCAGGGATATAGCTCAGTTATATAAGCACCTGCCTAGCAAGTGCAAGGTACTGAGTTCGATTCCCAGTATCCCCTCCCCCAAAAAAGTTAGAAGTGTGGCCTAATAATCCCTCAAAAACACAACTTCGTTTATAAAGACTTTGCATTTAGTTGCAGGTTAACCATAATAAAATGAAATTTTAAATGAATTATATGAGATTAGTAATAATCTCAACCAATAATGGTCCTAAAAATCCTTTGTACGTTATGAAACCCTGAGAGTGCAAGCCATTGTTAGGCTTGCAGCAGGTTGAAAGTTGGTCAAAGTTGAGTAGAAACTTGAGCTTTCTCTCTTGCTCCTTGGTTTGCATAAAACATACCGAAACGTTGCCCTTTCCTGTGGTGTATAGGAAACAGTGCCCCATTTGCTCTTCTAATAGTTTGGTTCTTCTTCAAGAGTAGTAATTTAGTCAAGTACTCTGCTGCTCTGATAAATCAATTTCAAAAGAATTGGCTTTCTGGTAGTCTGTGCTAACTAATTTTAAAATTTTCTGTTTTAGGAATACTTAAAAAATTTGAGGAAGAAGATTTGGATGACATTTTAAGGAAGAGATTGAAGGACTCAAGTGAAATACCTGGTGCTCTGTGGCATATTTATGCTGGAAAAGATGTAGATAAAATACGAGAATTTCTTCAGAAGGTATAATTTTGCAGATAATGTATCTGTATAAGTTGTGACTGACTTACTAATGCAGCTTCATTGGTATTCAGCAATATAAGATTTAAATATTTTGGTTAACGAAGATACAGGTTTTGTGTCAAAAGCTCCTTTTTTAGCCTGTTTCATTCTGAGGGTTTTCAGTAGCAGTTCTCAATTACTAGTGCTCCCCTGTTAGCTTATCGTAATGGACGAATGAGTTGGTGAGCCAGATAGATGTTTTTTTGGCTACTGGAAAGCAGACATTCGGAATTGCAAGATGTAAAACTTACTGTGTTTCATTTCTTTGAATCTGATTGATATTTTGGCTCTTAACCAAGGCAATAATTGTTTTACCCCACTTGGTGGCTCTGTAATATCTGACTAGACTGAAGTCTTGAACAGTCACACCTTTAGTTGTTAGACTCTGGAAGAGTTGGCACATCACCCCGAAATAATTTGTTCAAAACTTTAGTGAAAACATTTTGCAGGTTTTGTAGATTGGGGAGTTTCTTTTAAGGAATCATCATTGTTACTTATTATGTTACACTGAATCATCTTGAAAGGATTTAAATTGTTACTGTGATTAATACGAATTTAAAAACTATAATTTTGTGACCAGTCTTATCCTAAGATATCTACCAGTATTTTAATCAAAAATACAATAATGTGTGCCTTTAAACACAGATTATTTCATTGATTGGTAAAAGCGTTGCTTGAAATAGACTTTTCAAGGGTTAGAAAGTGAACCCTAAAAAGATATCTTCTTTGTACATGCCTTCAGGGGAATAAAGAAATGTTCATGAAGTCCATGCACACGAATGGCTTTGCCTTTTGGGGGAGAGGCGACCAAATTAAGCTTTTACCTTGTATTTCTGCTCTTGACCATCTGGGTTGAACTCTTGAACCAATCACACAATCGGTAAAGAAGGAAACCAGGATGGATGACAACTTTATACTGGGCGTAATGAGAACGCTGAGTATGATTAGCTCTATTAACGTTATTTCAGTTTGCTATATTGTGTTAAAATCCTTTAGTTTTCCAAGTTATTGAAGAGCATTATTTTCTTTATCAAAAATAGTGATTCTGAGAACAAAGAATTTCTTACTATAAATAAAAGAAATTTAACCAAATACGGTTTTTTTTATTTCTCCTACCTTGAGGTATATATTTTCCTTTTAATCCCTATTTCAGATTTCAAAAGAACAAGGCCTTGAAGTTCTGCCAGAACATGATCCGATACGTGACCAAAGCTGGTATGTCAACAGAAAGCTGCGCCAGCGGCTGCTGGAAGAGTATGGGGTCAGGACCTGCACCCTTGTTCAGTTCCTCGGGGATGCCGTCATTTTGCCAGCGGGAGCACTTCATCAGGTACGTGCAGACTGCTTCCTGGCACGCTTAGCAGCTGGGGAGCTCACTGTGTGAGAAACAGATGACGTTAGGAATAGACATAAATGAAAAAAGACATAAAACAAATGACCCGTACCAGTCTGCTTTTATTCCCTAAAATGTCACTGGAGTACTAGAAGAAATCTGAAATAAATACTTGGAGAGCTTAAATCATTTTACATGAACCAGATTTCCATTTTTATATTGTCTCTGGTTTAGTGAATTGAAAGCTTAATTTTTAAGACCTCTTTTAGGGCAAGTAAAGAAATACTGTATATTCATTCTCAATAGTGGGGCTTTAAAAGCAGTGAGGAGCATTAAAACTTTATATCAGCCTTTAAATTACATCTTGCCTCTCTTTAGCATGTAGTAGCCTACCTAAAGAAAGATGGTATACAATTTGTATTCCTTAAAAGCTAAAACATCTATTCTTTATTTCTGTACCTTTATATGTGGCACCTGATAGAGAGGATAGAATTTAAACTACACAGCAGATTCCAGTAGGTTGAATTGGACTAGTAACCCATATTGGCCCTTTTTAGTAATGTTTGCAGGAAATCCAAGACTCCTCCCTCAAAGCTAGTTTGCCTCAGAGTTGGCTCCACTCATCAATGAATAATGGAGATGCATCTGATACGTATTTGCTTTCTCGCATTTTATAATTGCATATGCAGACACTGATTGATTTGCATTTGTGACATTATTATGCACAAATATTTTTTAAATGATAATGGTTGATTTTTTTTTTTAGGTTGACAGATTCAGTATCAGATTTATTGTTCGTGGAGCTCAAATGACATTTATGATAGTAAAATATAAATACAACTTTTTCCTCTACCATAACTTTGTAGAAAAATATATTAATGTTAAATGTTCTCCTGTGAATTTATAACTTCAAAGATACTATACATTTATGATTCAGGTTTAATTGGGATTGACTCCACATACCATTTCTTTGCCTTCTATACTTCTCTCAGAAGGTACATAATTTGTATTCAAATTTAAATGTCCTCAAAAGAACAGTTTCTGTGAAGGGTTACTGAAAATAAGAATAATCCTTGATAATTCAAAATAGATTTCCTTGGAAGCTGGGGATTTAGCTCAGCGGCACAGCGCCTACAAGCGCGAGGTCATGAGTTTGATTCCCGGTGTGTGTGGGGGAAATAGATTTCCTTGAAAATCCTTGTTTATATGTTTGATGTGTTCGTTTGTCAGTTTTCTTAGGGTCTATATTGAAGTCATTTTTTTTTTAATTGAGGTCTAATTTCCATGTGGTAAATTTTATTTTTTTTGGTGTACACTTGTGTAAGTTTTGACAAATGCATAGTTAGGTGACAGTACAGTCGAACTCCAGGATCGTCCCATCACTCAGAAAAAGCTCTCACACTTTTATAGCCTCCCTCTCCGTCCACCCCAAGGTTCCCATAACGATGTATCTGGTTTTTGTCCTTTATAGCTTGCCTTTATGAGATTGTGACTTAATTGAAATTATATAATCTGTATCCTTTATGTCTGGCTTTTCTGAATGCATTTGAGATTCATTCATGTTGTGTGTGTATCAGTTGGTTCCTTTTCATTATTGGGTGGTGGTTTCATTGTATTAGTGTGGTATTTATATTTCCTTTTTTCTGTCTATTTGTTTATTCACCAATTAAAACACGTTTGGATTGTTTCCCATTAGGAGCACTGCTAAATAAAGCTACTCTTTGTGAGTAGCATTCACATCCAGGCTTTTGTGTGAACATAGGTTTTCGTTTTGTTAGGTAAATACCAAGTAGGCAGATTTCATGTCACGTGAGAAACGTGGTGAACTTCAAGAAACTGCCAGGCTATTCTCTAAATGGTTGTACCATTTCCTGCCCTCAAAGCAGTGTTACATGCATTTCATTTCTTCTTCCTGTCCAGTGCTTCCTACTGTCCGTGTTGTTTTTAACCCCCTCTCGTGAGTGCAGTGGCAGTACTGTGTGGTTTAATGTGTACTTTCATTATGACTTGTTGAGCATATATGTATTTGCCATCTGTTTACTTTGCTTAAATGTGAGTTCAAATATTTTGCCTTTTTAAAAATTGTTTTGAGTATTTTTTATTCAATATATAAGTCCTTTATTCAGTAATGGTTTTGTGGGTAGATTCTCCCAGTCTGCTTCTCTTTCCATTCTCTTAATGATCTCTTTCAAAGAGCAAGATTCTCCATTTTTGTGAAGTCAAGTTGGTCTTTTTTTTTCTTCTCTAGAGTACACTTCTATTTTATTGTCTATGGAATTTTTTTCTGGTCAAGTATTACAGAGTTTTTTTGCCTATGTTTCCTTCTAGAAGCTTTATGGTTTTTGGTTTTAAAATTGAGTGTATGAGTCATACTCGGTGGTGGCACGCGCCTGTAATTCCAGCGCTTGGGAGGCCGGGGCTGAAGGACAGCCGTGAGTGCGAGCAAGGCCAGCCCAGAACTGCACAGTGAGACTCTGTCTCTGCACACACACCAAAATATTAACTATGTGACCCATTTTTTTAATTAATTTTTTGTATGTGGTACACTGTATAGTTTGAGATTCAGTTTTTCACAAAGGAACATTTGGTTGTTCCAGTGCTACTTGTTGAAAAGACTGCTTTAAAGTATTTTTTTCTTTTCAAAGTGTTATACCTTCATGGAATTAAACAAATTCAGGCAGTCTAAAAGTTTTCATGCTTGAAAGCTTGCTAGGCAGTTTTAGTAGGGCAGTGCAGCTGCTGGTATATCCCGCCTGAGGAATGGTCTTCCATTGCGTGTGGCCGTCCTCCTAGCCCTAGCTCACAGCCTGGGGAGGGACGCACATGGAGCAGTGAGGGAGGGAAGGGACACCCACCTAGCCAGCGCGATCAGCCAGATCAGCCCTAGTGATCAAGGGACAACAGGTGTCACAGCCAGATCCCCCTCACATCCAAAATTATACAAATGCAGGCGGTCTAAAAAGTTTTCATGGTGAAAATTCATTCCCCTATCCTTGACCCCATTTCTTTCTCCAGAGGCAGTCATTTCACCCCACGTTCCAGACTTAAGTTCCCCTGCTCCTTCTACTTAAGGATGGGCATCAACAAGAGCCATCTTCTATTCAGTAGTGGGCACAAAGTAATCCTGTTCAAAAGTTCACATTCCACTCTGCTCAAAGCGTCATGAAGCGTCACAGGCCCCAGTCCACACTGCACCCTACTGTGCCAGCCCGGAGGCCCCCACCAGCACACACAAACATGCGCACACGCACTGGTGCAGGCACCATCTCCCTGCTCCCGTTGTCTTTCTCTGCTTTCTTCCAGCTTGTGCTCTTGTTCTGCTGTAGAACACCAGGGCAGTGCCTACCCCAAGGCCTTCGTACCTGCTAATCCTTTCGCCTAGTTTTTTTCCTCTGAGGTGTCTCTGAGACTTGCTTTTGCTTCCTCACATTTTTTTAAGGCTTCACTCAAATGTTACTGTTCAGAGATGGAGTTTGTGTCACGGAATTTGCACCTTCTCTGTTTTTCCATTGCAGCCACCACCTTCTAACTGGATTTGTACTTCACTTACATTCATTGTCTTTAACTCCCCACTAGAATGAATGTAAGCTTCATGAAGTCAGATTTGTAGAGTTCTGTTTTGGCTTTTTGTAGTGCAGAAGATTGAACTCTGGGCCTCCAATGCACTGAGCAAGTGCTCTATCTCTGAGCCATGCTCCAACCATAAGATTGGAGTTTTTCTTCGCTTCTTTCCTATGCTTAGAATAATGCAGTTAAGACAAACATTCATAAGTCTGTTTTGTGGATATATGGAAATATGTTCCTCGTTTACAACAGATTTTTGCACAAATAGATGAAAATAATTACGACTTCTTACAATTTAAATACTGTAAAGCCAGGCGTGGTGGCGCACACCTATAATCCCAGCACTTGGGAGGCTGAGGCAGGAGGATCATTGCCAGTTCGAGGCCAGCCTGGGCTACAAAGTGAGTTCAAGTCCATCCTGAACCACACAGCGAGACCCTGTCTTAAAAAGGACAAAAAGAAATAAGATGAAATAAATACTGTATTATTTGTACACACATGTAAATTTTGACTTCTTCCTATGTGTCTTCCACCTAATGCACAAAGTTTACTTAGGTTAAGGGGCTGCAGATGTAGCTCAGCGGCACAAGCACCTGCCTGACAAGCGCAAGGTCCTGAGTTCAATTCCCATTACCCACCAAAAAAAAAAGTTTACTTAGGTTGGAATCTAGCTAAATCTAATTTTTTTTTTCAGAAGAGATGTATTGTTTTGAGATGTATAGAAAATTCATAGAGATTTTAGAAAGTAAACTGCATATGTGATAAGAGGTGTTACAGCTGCATAGACTGAGGGCAGCAGCATGTATGACCTAAATTACTGCCACTAAATTACTGAGTGGTGCAAGAGAAAAACCTTAACTTCTGTGCTGTGTATCTTGACACAGAAATTGCCAGCTATAAAAATAAGGATTTTTATGTCCCCTTTCTCTGCAGACTTAAAAACTGTTGGTAAACTTGACTCAGTATGTGAAGCTATGCCTAGACAGGGCAGCTGAACCGTGACTTCCAGTACTTTACTTTGCCTCAACTTTGATATTCTGAGTGGCATTGATTGATTGATTGATTGATTGACTGATTGATTGATTCAGTTTTTTGAGATAGGGTCTCACCATGTAGTTGAGGCTGGCCTCGAATTTGGGGCAGTCCTCCTGTCTCAGCCCCAAGTGCTAGGATCACAGGCATGCACCATCAAGCCTCTTTGTTTAAACTACAATGATTTAAAACACACACACACGGGTTAGGGGTGCGTAGGTCAGTGGTAGCTCTGCCTAGTACATGTAAGGTTTTAATCTCCAGCACCACAAAAAATAAAAAGAAAATAAACTTTAATGAGCCTTGATTGCTTAATTATGTCATCATTCCTAGCTTATAATACTTTAAAGTAAAAATTCATCCGCATTTGTGTAGACCAAGTCTTTTCATCTAAGTTCTCACAAATAGCCGAATATATTTTATAGTAATCACAGTGTAAAGATTATAACCTTCCTATTTAGGAAGGTGAACGAACTACATTTTCTTAATATTGCCTATTTATGGTTACAACTTATCCTTTAAGACACGTGTAAGACAGTATCTGTTTGGAAATGGAATACAAATGATTCAGAAATGGCAGCAGAGAGGGAGAAGGGGAAGGGGAGGTTCAGTCATGTCCTACTTTAGAGCTGAGCCCTCGCCTATTCAAATTAACCCTCAAGCCTTGAAGCAAAGTGTATCAGGTAAGGGTTGTTTGGAAACATCACAGCCTCTCTAAGCATTAGTAAAAGTCACCATTTTGAAAGTCATTTTAAAACAACTATAGGCTGGGCATGATGACATAAGTTTGTTACTTTTTTTTTTTTTTTTTTTTGGTACTGGGAATTGAACTCACAACCTTGCACTTTACCAGACAGGCACTGTGCCACTGAGCTATATCCCCGGCCCGATGGCATAAGTTTGTAATCCTAGTACACAGGAGACTGAGCCAGGAGGATTGATGAATTCACAGTCAGCCAGGGCTACAAAGTGAGTTCAGGGTCAGCCTGGACTGCATAGTGAGACCCTGTCTGAAAAAGACCAAAAAAAAAAAAACCCTAAAACAAGTGTAAGCTAGTAAAGGTCAACAGAATTACCTTTTTTCACAATTACTGGAATCTAATACAAAACTTACAGCATCCAAGAGACCACTTACGAAGAAAAAGTCAACTGATGTTTTTGATGTTTAAGGAATCCGTTTTGGATACTTTCTGAGCCCTGAAATAATGGAACAAAGACTTCGGTGACCATACACAACAAAGAATACAACCTATGTGAAAAGTCTGGAAAAGTCACTGAACAATGACTGCAGCCCCAGCAATCAACCATGGCAAATCCGAAGGGGGGCAAGAACCTCGTGACCAGAATAAACACATACTGTTCAGATACCCAGTTTCCAACAGAAAGTTAAAAGGGCCCATTCAAAGGGAAGATGTACACTGGTGACAGAAATGTTCCCTGAGGAAGCCCAGACACTGGATTTACTAGACAGCTGTCGTAAATACACTCGAAGAGCTAATGGAAATTCCATGGCCTAAGACCTAAAGAAAACCAGGAAAATGATGGATGAATAAAGTGACTGTCGGGAAAGCAAGAAATTATTAAAAGGAGCCAGCTAGAAATTTTGGATTTACCAGTGATTTTAGACATACCAGAGCTAGACATAGCAAGCAACAGTACATACTAAAACTTTTGAAAGACTTACACCACAGCATGTTCTAGTAAGTAAACGACATTGAGAGAGGGCTTTTGGAGACTGTGTATGATGGTGTGAGAGAGTTAATGTCTCTTAGACAAGACATCCTCACAGGAGTCGGGCTCCTGTTGACTTGCCATTTATTGGCTGATTTGTCTTGGGACAGGCGCTGAACATCTCATCCATAGTCTACTGTTCTGTGAACTAGAACATCTGTTCTACAGACAATAATGAAGAGCCAGTGAGACTGTACAGAAATGCCGAAATGTGAGGCCCCCACTATTCATCCTCCAGAGGAGCCAGCAGCCTAATGAGTACAGAGAGAGAATGTTTACTTTACGTGCTACCGGGTTATCCCTAGAGGCACAGTGCTTGAGTTAAAGACCTCTGCAGTCTTCAGCAGCTGTCCAGGTGGTCGTGTGTCCAGAGGAGGAGTTCTGACCCCTCTGGAATTCCATTCCTCTGTCATCAATTAGATTTCTTTTCCCACAGCCTCCATTCCCACAACTATCTTCTTCATCTCACCCCTCCCAGTTAAATTTGTTTTGCACACTTTTAGAGTAAGTCTAAATGCTTAGTTTTTCAGTTATTTTTCCTTTCCCAGGAATTTTTATGACATTTTAAAATATCACTGGAAGACAGCCTAGTAAAAGACACAAATTCCAGATTGGATCAGCTTGGACCTTCCTCTGTTATTACACAAGCATTAATAGAAAGCAGTTCTAAGAAGTAGTGAAATAGAGTCTGTAAGTGCAGAATGGATACATACTATTGACTGGCTTCTTGTGAAAACCATTTAGTCAGGAAAGAGAAACTTTTGAAAAAACTGCTGTACTAAAGTCACAGGAGATCGGAGGGTCTCTTTAATTGGCTAATTTGAAAAAAGGGCACAAATACCAAAATCTTAGCATAGTCTGAAACTTTGTAGTCAGTACAGATACTTGGAACTACAGTTTTTATCCCAGTTCCTAACAAACTAAATTACATTTCCTGCTCTTTATTCTCTGGCGTAAGAGTTAGCACTGAAATGACCAAATTGCTGAAAGCCAAAGGAGCACACAGCACGTACGCTCAGACTGAGCGCCTCGTAGGTTCTTTCTAGTTAGCAGTTTGTTAATGCAACACATTTAAAAGTCCACTTTGACAAAATTAGGATCTGATTATCAGCCTCTCCAAAGGATTCCTGGAAAAGTTATTTTCTTTTTTATCATTTAAAAATGTTTCATTTACAGTCACTTTACATGAAGCTTTTCAGTGACGTAACTCTCATAAAGTGTGGTCTTCTACTTTGAAATCCATTTGATGTTTTAGAAAAAATAATTATTTGGCAGAATTGTCTTTGTGTTACTGGTTGTAAATAACTTAATTTCCTCTGCTCTCACCTCCTAAGATTTATATTTCACTGGTTTTTCTTTTGGGAATAGGTACAGAATTTTCACAGCTGTATTCAGGTAACTGAAGACTTTGTGTCTCCAGAACATCTTGTACAGTCATTTCATTTAACACAGGAACTGAGACTTTTGAAGGAAGAAATCAATTATGATGATAAACTACAGGTAAGAAATGGGTGCTTAGGCTTTGTATGTTCAGAAAATAGAATACACGCCTAGTATCTTAGGTGGTTGATTAGACTGTCAGGTTAGGATTAAACACCACACATACATTTAGTTGTGTTAGTTAGGGGGGTAGTTGTATTAATTTTAGTGACCTGTATTTTATCTTCCAGCTTAACATTTTCAAACTGACATTTTTCATCTCTGTAAATTTGACTTTCCTCAGCCTATGTTAAAGTTATTTTGTCTTGTTTGTTTCTTATTTACTACTCTCTTTAAAATTAAAAGAACTTAAAAAAAAAAAAAGTTATTTTTTCTTTATCTAGCAGTTGTCATTTGTTCATTTCATTCCAGCTCAAGCGATGAGAAATATCAATTATCTCTTTCAGATTAAAAATATCTTGTATCATGCAGTCAAAGAAATGGTGAGAGCTTTGAAGGTACATGAAGATGAAATAGAGGACACAGAAGAAGATTAACTGTGGTCCACTTGACGTCTGCAGGCTATAGGACTGGGAGCACCTTCCCACGCATGAATGAGGATGTGTGCACACAGCGACTGAAGCTTCAGAACCATCAGTGCCAAGAAATTCTCTTTGTAGTAATTACTTGTTACTGACACCACAGCAGTATAGCATATGTCACAGCTCATGTGATTCATTGTTAGTTATAAAACAAGCTAAATTCAAAAGCAGCACTACATAGCTGTTTCTGTATTATAGTGTATATGATGTTTGTGAAAATGTCAGATTTAAAATGATGTATTTATTTTTGGTAAAAACAGAAAACAAAATTCTATGCTATATTGTTGATTGAGTGTAAATGTGCCCTTGTACAGTTTAATAAAATAACTGATATTTTTCACTACATTGAGACAGTTACTGTGAGAATAGGACACAAACACCAGCTATTGCCTGCATTTGGGAAATTGCTGAATCGCACAGCAGTCATGTCATAATCAGAAAATTACTGCCAAATAATTGTAAAATTTGTAAAATACAAAGTATATTAAGTAGATACTAAATACAGACTCTTCAATATTTTGTTGAAGCTGTTGACTGTACAATTAAACATTTTCAAAAGGTGTAATTTATTTAAAATTGTCTCATTTTGGTAAAATTTATGTGAAGTTTTAAAGCTAAATATTAAACTTAATATGCTATGTAAATATATACATATATACATTTAATGATGTATTTTTTTAAACATCGGCCTGCTTTTGGTAAAGTGCAAGTGTTACATATGGCTTTGTACATTAAAGTTAAAAGGGGTTTTACATTTTCCATTAAAAAGACTTTATCAGAAATTGGGTTGCTCAGAGTCCCCTCTTTCGAGAAGCACACTGCTGACCTTGGACGAGAAGAGCTCACAGTCAGAGTAGGTCCGATGTGCGTGAGCCCGACGACATGCGGTACTTTGGAATCGCTTAGTGCCTGCCTGCTTGAGCTACGCGTGGTCCCTTTGAATTACCAGAAAAAGATGCTTTCCCACCACACCAATGGGACCTGAGAAGAGCAGAGCAGCAGCCCAAGCAGGGGTGCTTCGCACGTCGTTCTGTGCCCTGATTTTTTTGTTCACCAGCTCCCTGGAGGCTCAGACCTGGACCACACTTTGAGGGAAGGTGCAGTGTTTTAGTTATGATTGGCTTTGAGATGGGGTCTGGCCGTGCCATTCTCTACCTCAGGTGAGGTCTGGCCCACAGTGTGAGCAAGCGTGTTTCACGTGAGTGCCTCGGCTTGCGTGGGGTCAGGCAGGTGCCTGGGTGGGTGGTTGGGGCTGAAGAACACCGGACATGATTTTGAGCTTGCGACTTCCACAGGGCCTCGCGCTGGCCAGGCAGGCACTGTGCCAGAGCCACGTCCCCGGCCCCAAGCTTGGGGTTTAATACTGTCTAAACATGCCCCAACTGTGACTTCTTTTGCCTGCTATTTTCATGTGTTGTATTTGATACGGTTTTGGTGTGAAATTAATGAGTCTGATGCCAGAGTGTTGTAGAGATTCGTACCTGCTGGTCCCCTACGGTCCGATAGGACCCTCATGTGTATGGTTTTCTCCCAGAAGGGTTTTGCTCCCCCCTGCTCTTCCACCCTTGAGCACAGCTGAAGCCAAGCGGTTTTGAGCCAAGCAGTGTGGCTCCTTCAGAGCAAACCCACCTGGGGGGAGAGCGTTTTATCGTAGTCGGAAGGACTTCCTGTCTGAGGTCTGAGCTCTGCTCATGAACTCACAGGCTGGGAAGCTGGGGGTTACTGCTTGCCTTAAAATTTTTAGAGGAAGTCCTCTGACCGTCTGGTCTGTTCTTCATTCTGTGAACTCTGCATTCTTCAAAGACATCAGTATGTTATTTCCTTCCAGAAAGTGTAAGTCTTAAGTGTGTAGAAGAGTTTAAAAAATGTCAGTCAGGGTTCCCATAAAGAGAAACCCAAGCCAAGCGTTTACGCCCTTCCTGGCCTCGTGGGGGATGTCATTCGGACCTGCGTGCGGGTTCCTTCCACGGAGTGATGACGTACACGTGTTCGGGTGCATGTTCGCTGTGTTTTGGCTGTGTGTCCTGCTATCCAGTCACCTAGGCTGGGACTCAGACCTTCCCTGTTGCAAACATCTGACACCCAGGTTACACCTTGAGACCGCGTGGGGGGCGCAGTTAAAGTAGGATAGCTGCCATAGTAATCTCAGTCTTTGGACGAAAGTGGAGTGGCTCTTCCTGCAGTGTTGGCAGGCTCCAGGTCACCAGCTGCGTGGAAACTGACTTCCTTGGCTAGGGAGCTGTCATAGCTGACTCAGCTGTCCAGTCGGTACTCCGCGGGCTGTGGTTATAGCTCAGTGGTAAAATGCGTGAAGCACAAAGCCCTGAGTTCAGTCCCAGCACTTGGGGTGGGGAGCTTCCTGTAAATGAGCCATACGGATAGATTGGCCTTCAAAAAGACCTCAGCTCTGGGGCTGATGGAGGGTATACGAAGGACACAGTTTGTATGTGGGGGTCAGAACTGGACTCCACTTTGAGAGAAGGTGCAGTGTTTTGGTTATGATTGGTTTTGAGATGGGGTCATACTTCAGGCTGGTTTTGAACTCACTGTAGCCCACGCAGGCCTCAAACTGGGCTCAGCCACCACCCAACTGCTGGGATTACAGGTGTGTGGCACCACACCCAGCAAGAGAGAAGGCACATTTTTATGGCAGATGGATCCGCTGCTGCTTTGACAGGTAATGAAAGGTGTGGGTGGTTAAGACTGAACAAACACGCCAAAGTCCAAAATTAGACCCGAACTGACTCCTTCCCCTCAAGAGCGCTGATGGGGACCTGTCATCACGGTGGGTGATTCCCCATGCGCTGGAGATGATAGAAACAAAGGATGGAGGCAGGACACGCCGTCCGCAAGAGAGGATGTGGGGACCGCTGCTTCCAGCTGCTCGTGCCCTAGCTGAGGTTAAAGGGGAAGGTGCCATCTGACACGAACTGCCGCGGGTCAGTGCCACCTCCGCGAAAGGCGGTCACTGTGTGTGGTATGTTCCTGTCACTCACATCAGGACGTACAGGTTTCTCAATTTGTTTCTTGTAGAAGAAACTTTGCACAAGCCACATGCTCCAGTCCTCAGGCCTTAATCCTATTGTAACGTGCATACCCAAAGCCATCACAGTTGAGCTGACTAGAGTGTTTGAATCAAAGCTTTCTAACACCAGTGAGGCCACAGGATTGTGGCACATACGTTGAATTGTAACACCTCTGTCCCACTCCCTCCAGTAGGAAATGGTGTGGTTCAGGATATTAAGGGTGCAGGGAGTTGCTGGGGATATAGCTCCGCGTCACAGCACCTGCTCAGAGCCCAGTGATAAGTCACAGGTTCTAAATTTGCCAGCTGTACTCCCAGTTACATCATCATGGAAAACTGCTCACCCCTGGTCGCTGGAAGTTTTGAGGAACAACATAGGGATTTATTCGTCCAGCCCAGTCTACTTTCACCCGTGACCTGTGTCAGGACTCAGTTTGTTCTCAGTGTTCTATTCACATTTGCAACAGTTGATAGTGAATTTTTCAAGTCAGTTGAAAAACTTTTAATTAAATCAAATGAACCAAGCTCTCATATCAGCCAGTGTTGTATTATAGTTTTGTTTTAGTATTGGAGAGTGAACTCAGGAACTTTGCACTGAGCTACATCCCCAGCCCTTATTTGAGACAGAGTCTTGCTAAGTTGCAAAGCTGTTCAGGCAGGATTCAAATTTGTGATCCTCCTGCCTCAGCTTCCTGCGTGTTGGGATTACAAGCGTTGCACCACAATATCAGTATGTCCCTAGATGCTAACACATTTTCTTTCCTTGAGCCAGGAGACACTACTGTCAAGGGAATTCAACTTTGAGTTTATTGCACAGGTAAGCAAGGATGCGAATGTAACCAGTGGCAGAGCGCTTGGTAGATGAGGCCCTGGGTTTGACCCCCAGAGATGTGGTGGGAGGACAATCTGTTTGTCCCCTTTTCCCTTAGCCTGCGCTCCAATCAGGTTTGCTCAGCTCTGTTTGGTCTTGGCAGTGCCGGGGACTGAACCCAGGGCCTGGTGCATGCTCGCCGAGCACGCTTCTGTTGGGCCTCAGCCCAGCCTGTTTCCTTTCTAATTCACACTCTTGCTCAGGCTCATCTGCACCTAGACAGCCATTTTCCTGTCCTTCAGGCCCTACTACTTTTCCACAAAGCCTACAATTACACTGACTCCTTTATAATCTCAGTAGAAGGCAAAGTAGTATTCACTAATAGGTGTTCATTAAATATTTGGTACCTGTATTTGGAGTATACTGATTTAAACCGGGAGATGACTTTGCCTGTATATAGCTGTAAACCACTCTGCTTTCTAGTGAACAACTAAGGTTTTCTCTGCAACCTTTCTGCAGCCCACCAAACCCCTTCCCAGGGGGTCCCAAGCAAGCCTCAAGTTGGTTCTTAGGAAATAGGGGTATTGCTTCAGGCCTGCTTTGACTGCCAGCTTGTCCGGGATAACAGCAAATGCTAGACCAGCTCTTGTTAATGACTGCTTTCAACCTAACGTTCAGGAAGCGGGAGGGTGGCAGCCCACACAGCTCAGAGGTCTTCTTGAGGTTAAATCCAGGGAACAAAACTTGAAAGCCCAGGTCAGAAGTGAAAAACCCATAGTCTCAGCCTGCACAAACTTGGCCCGGAGCTCTCTTTAAAACACTTTCTCTTCAAACTGCGTTTCCATATTTGCTCTAGACTAGGCAAGCTAACCAAGACCTCCTACAGACCAATATTCCACATGAACCCTGGCACAGCCCAGCTGGGCTAACCCCGAAAACCAGAACAGTTCCTCACTGTCCACTAGGTGTCACTGTGGGCCAGCAGTATCCTTTAAAGGACTTCGTACTTCGAATCTTTTAAATCTGAGGACACTAGGAAAAAAGCAGCCGTACCCCTCACGGAGATCCCCGATTACACTAGACGGAGATCCGGACAAAGCACAAACCCAAGATCACCTATCTTCCATCTGCGATTGAGAATGATTCGACAGTCGTTATTACTACGGTTCACATCTTGACCCTGCAGTCAGGTTCTAAACAACCCTGTGGCAGACTTAGAGCTAGTATTGCTATTACTGAAGGATTCAGCCACAATGCCCCAAGTGAAAAGCATCACTATAAAAAACAAGCATAAGGCTTCTCACTAAGCAGAACAAACTGCTTTCACGAGATGTTTGTGCCTCCCCGCGCATCAGTTCTCTGGTGGAGACTGCGTGTCTTAGTTTAATGCAGTTACTGCATCTCGGCCAACACAGCTAGTCTGCTGGTTCTGCGGGTCAGCCCTTCTGTTCCTGCACACCAGACGGACAGGAAGCCAACACCCTCACCAGACCCACGGGAGGCAGTCCACACCGAAGCCCTCCTCACAGGGGCCCCAGGGACTGTCTCTGCTCATGACTGCTGTGACCCAGTACACAACCTCACAGTCCTCGGACTTCCTCGGCTTGAAGGATGAAAAGCTGACGACATTCAAAAAAAGGATCAAGTGTTAAAAAGCAGAAAGAATGTATTTAACATGTCAAATTGACTTTGGAGAAAATATTTTAACAAACTTGATACACCACTAGAGACAAATTTTTTTTTTTTTTTGGTCTTTTTGAGACAGGGTCTCGCTATGCAGTTCAGCCTGGCCTTGAGCTCACTTTGTAGCCCAGGCTGGTCTCTAACTTGCAATGATCTTCCTGCCTCAGCCTCCTGAGTGCTGGGATTACAGGCGTGCACCACCACGCCCAGCTGAGACAAATTTTTGAAGGAACTAGTTATTTTAAAAACATTTCCTTTTCGCTTAAGGTTCCAGGTAGTATGCATCTGTGGTTACCACAGCAACAGAGCTGATACTTACTCCAAGTTACCGCCCTTTGAAACAAACGCTCCTTCCGGGAGTTAGTCTGAAAATTTGCAGTGAGGACTCAGAACAAGACTTTATGAGCTCCTTTGCTCTCGTTTGGTTTCTGGTGGTTTGAGACCTGGTTTTGCCCTATTATTCAGGCTGACCATAAACTCGGTGTCCTCCCACCTCAGCCTCTACTGCTGGGATTACAGGCGTGTGCCGCCAGGCCCAGCATGGAGGCGGCGGCCAAAGCCCACAGTGCCCGCTGTCACAGGTGCCCTCCTGAGTACTAACCAGGCCCAACCCTGCTCAGCAAAGAGCAGCTCACTCAGGGCAGTGTGGCCCTAGATTTAACCCTCAGCTGGTTGTCCAGACCTTACAGCAAGGGGCCACCAGAAGACAGGCCACGTCTCTCAAAGCAATGAGCTTTGGGGTGGGGTGAGGGGTTTGAGAAATGGTCTCGCTATGTAGTCCAGGTGGCCTTGAATTCACTATATGGCCCAGGCTGGCCTCAAACTCAGTGATCCTCCTGCCTCAGCATCAGGAGTGCTTGAGACTACAGGCGTAGAGGAGTGCACGACCATGCCCAGCCCAAACCATTCTTAACCATTTCAGTGCCTCAGGCTAAACTCCAGCCAGGGCAGAGGCAGTGCACCCAAAACAGAGGTAACCATCTGCTCTGGCAGCCTAGGAAATATGTTATAGTCTTGGTCAGAACACATTTAAACCTCAGGAACTTTCAGAATGGCTCTTAACCAAAAGCCTGCGAACAGTAGAACAGCACCCTGAGGAACTTTATACTCTTTCACTTCCCTTCTAAGGGTTAAAAGACTACGAAATACTGAAAGACCCAAGTCCGGAACACGCTAAAGAAACCATTCAAATTCCCCAAGTTTGTAACACAGAAGGAGCCGCTCAGTAACTTGCTTTTAAACTATCACATCCAACAAAGGTATAAAACACAATTACTTTATTGATCTCTTACAATCGAACACCGCCGGCCCCCACTGCTCCACTCCAAGTCAGGAAAACAAAAACTGCTTGCTTGGTACTTTCAAACGATGCACTATACAACAGAACTGAAAACGCGCCCTGATTAATTATGTAAACTGTAAAATTTTTAAAAAGCATAACTAATAATTTGGTTCCTTTCTTCATAAAATGGAAATTTAAACATTTCTCCTGATAGTCGTGAGGTTATCATTCTGAGTAGTGCAAGGGTGGCGCACACAGTTCACCTGGAAGGCTGCGTCTCACACCCCTTCTGTAAACTCAATGTGCGCGACCACGCAGACAGTCAATGCATGATGAAGGGCGTACTTCAGATACAAGACAGCCCCGAGGGCCACTGTATTATTTAGGTTTTGCATTATCTTTTATGGCGTTATAGATTTTTTTTTTTTGGTCTTTTTGAGACAAGCTCTCGATATGCAGCTCAGCTGGCCTTGAGCTCACTTTGTAGCCCACGCTGTCTCGAACTCGAACGATCCTCCTGCCTCAGCCTCCCGAGTGCTGGGATTACAGGTGTGTGCTACCACACCCGGCTTATGGCATTATAGATTAATTACATATAACATACTTTCATACATTTAAACCCTGAAGATTCAAAAAATAATTGTTGCTTGAAGATATTATTCCAGGTAGCCATTTGCTTTGGATCGGGAGAACGCCAGCCCCAGCCGTGTGTGCCAAGGCAGGGTCGCCAGCTGTGCGAGAAGCAGACCGCGGTACGCTTCACAGTGACGTCCCGCGTCCGGCGCACCTCTCTCCCTCAGAGCGGACGGACGAGAGAATTCTGGGACTGCCCTTGCCTGTGGTTTTCCCTTTTTTTCTTTTCTGGATTAACTGTGTTACTCAATTATTTCCTCTTCTGAACTCTCTCCTGACCTTCCATTTTAATTACTCATAAATCCTTTCAGGATGTCCTCAGAGAGCTCCATAAGCGGAAGCTCTGGAGATGGAAAATCCAAGGGAGGAAGGTTGGGTATTGGAATGTCCTTGGCTTTCCCGGTATTTGCTGCAAACTTCTGCCAGGTTGAGGAGGCTGCAGCACTTTCTGAATGTGGTGGCAGGCTCCAGAGCTCGGATTTTTCTACAAAATCAGCATCCACATCCAGCTCCTTTTCTGCTGAACCTTTTAGAAGTCTGGCCTTTTCGGCCCTTAGTTGTTTATTTTCTTTCCTTAATCTCTCATTCTCGGCCACAAGGAACTCCACGTGTCTCTTCAGATCTGCAATCTTGGTTGCCTGCTCCTCTATAATCGTTTTGTCATCTTTTGGGGCTTTGCTTCCAATGCACGGCTCCGTGGGCTCACTCTTTTGCTGAAGTAAGTACAGCAGTGTGTCTGGATCCCTGTCAAAAACCCCCTGGACTTCAGGGAGGCGTCTCTCTGCGGAAGGGCTGTGCTTCTGAGCGAGAAGGGGGTTCTGGGCCTCCGCGTCCTCCGCAGACGGCCTGGGCGATGCCTGCAGGTGGGCAGCGACGTCCCTGTCCCTGTCCGCGTGCTGCTGGGCCTTCAGCCGCTCCTCACGCTTCGCCCGCTTCCAGCGCTCCTGGATGAGGAGCAGCTGCTTCATGTGGCTGTCCCTCTGCAGCTCCAGGGACAGGCGAGCCTGCAACAGGGAAAGGTCAGTTGGCAGGATGAACACTCGTCCCTTCAGTGTTTTCCAAAAGCCTCCCTCCTGAACAATCAATACTTCAATATTTACAATATGTTTGCAACTCAACAGAAACAAAGAATTTCAAAATAACTAGGTATTTCTAGGTAAGCTGGAGAAAGGTGTTATTCATAAACAAGGTACCGCTCATCCGGAAAACTAGAAGTCCTACTCCCAAACAACAAAGTAACTCAGACTTCTCCTGAAGATGCTTCTAACCTCTGTTGAACATTAGAAATCCTCCCTCCTGGCGTGCCTTCCTCAGCGACCAGCCGAAACCCAGCAGGGTGAGGAGGCTCAATGCACACCTGCACGACGCGGCTGTCTGGTGAGCAGGCTCTATAGCAGGGGTGGCAAGCGTTCAGAGCTCTCAGTAATGACAAAGCGCCCGCTGCGGCACGAACGCCGCAGGTCACCCCCACTGTTCTATACTATCAAAGACAGTGGTCAGAGACCCAGAGTTCACTATGAAGACTAAGTGGCTTTCTGGCTTGTCACCAACATCCCTCAAAGAAAGTAACCCCCTCGCTCAGTTAGACAAACAGGACCAGCATTTTACAATCAAGAAATCAGCTTTAGGTTTGAGGATACAGCTCAGGGGTAGTGTCTGCAAACCATGCACCACAAAGCCCTGGGTTCGGAGCCCACCGCCGAAAACAAAAAAACAAGAATCTCCTGTAATCCCAGCACTTGAAGGCTGAGGCAGAAGAATCTCCAGTTCAAGGTCAGACTGAGCTACACACTGAGTTCGAGTCCTGCCTAAACTAGAGACCCGTCTCAAAAAAAGCTGGGAAGGAGCTCAGTGAGACTTGCCTAGCACATACAGGGCCCAGGTTTCAATCCCCAGTACTGCGAACACAAAAACCCCTAGGAGGCAAGCTCTCTCTCCAAACACAGAACACAATTTTGGGGTTTTCTGGCAGCACTGGGGACTGAACCCAGGGGCCTGCACTGACCTGCCTCACCAGTCCTTTTTATTTTGAGACAGGATCTCACTTAACTGCCCAGGCTGAGCTTGAGCTTGTAAGCCTCCTGCCTCAGCCTCTCAGAGTCTTGGGATTACAGGTGTGCGCTACCACACCTGGTGAAACACAGTAAGTATAGGAATGCAAGAAGAGACAAGGGGGACACTGTTCACATTTACGTTACCATTGTTAGGCAAAGGACAGCTGAGCTGGCTTCACCAGGGCGGCTCTTCACTGTGAGCTAAATCAGGTCAAACACGAGCGGTCCTCAGGAAGGTGTGAAGTGGGGTCTTTAACGGTGTCTGGTGCTCGGCCATCTGCAACTCTCTGAGGAGCAACTATGGCAGAACTGGTTGCCACACCGGGGACAGCCGCAGGAGCTTTTATCTCCTCTCTAAAGGATTCCACTCTTGCCAATTTTATTTTTGGCTTTTGGGGAGAGTTTTTTGGTTTGAGATGTCTCACTATGTAGCCCAGGCTGGCCGTGAACTCATGGCTACCCTCCTGCCTCAGTTTCCCACATGCTGGGATTACACTGCCAATTTTATATACTTTTCACTCTCCTTTTTTTTGTTTTAAGACTGGTCTTACCATGTTGCCCATGTGGGTCTCCGACTCACAATTCCCTTTCCGCAGCGTGAGTAGCTGGGTTACAGGTGGCTACCACATATCTTACATATTTTTGACACAGCTTTTTTAGAGGAATATAACGCTTTTGGTTTATAATACAATTCAGGAGTCCAAGAGCCCTTGCAACAAGCATGAAGAGTGTGTCTCACCTGCTCAGACTGTGTCAGCTTCATGGCTTCACAGAGGTACGCTGGTGAAGGAAGAGGCACACGAGCGTGAGTGTCAGCGCTTTGTAACTATCGGACTAAAGAAGGGTTTTAATACTCACATCGCAGAGAGCTGGCCTTACAAGCAATTATGCCGTAACTGGAGATTCTTTTAAAGGGACAGGACTCTCCGAGGATGTCGGTGGTACAAATGTAAATATTCCCCAGCCCATCTTAAAGCAGGGTTCTGCTCCATAACCTTCCAGATGCTGCTCGATGGCAGAGAGCAGGTGCCCAACATGCAGAGAACCTGGGTCAACCCCAACCCCTTACAGGAAACCCCAACAAACCCCTAGGATTGAAGATGTTGCACTCAGAAAAACAGGTTTAGGGGAGGTTAAAATGAAATAAAAACCTGTGGACATCTTACTTCACTCTGCTCAGAAAGAGACTATCAGTGACTCTCTAGCCACCCAAACACCTGAACTGTATCAACTTTTGCCTCCATTAAAAACTAAATTTATCAAATTGTTTCTGGGCTATACCACCAACATACTACAAATACAGTCACTAGTCAAGCATGGTGGCGCACGCCTGTAATTCCAGCTCTCAGGAGGCTAAGGCAGGAGGATCACTGCAAGTTTAAGGGCAGCCTAGGCTACACAGTTCAAAGCCAGTCTGAACTACTGAGACCCTGCCTCAAAAAACTAAAAGCCAGTTTGAACTACTGAGACCCTGTCTGAAAAACCAAAAACACAGTAACTAAAAGCCCTAAGAGAGCCAGGGATATAGCTAAGTGGCACAGAGCCTGCCTGGCAAGCACAAGGTTTTAAGTTCGATTCCTGGTACCAAAAAATAAAAAAATAAAAATAAAAGTCCTAAGAATATGTAAACAAATTTACTGTAAGGAAGTTACTAAGGATAGTATATTACATTAAAGACCTTCAATTCTGGGTGATTTGGTTTGTCTGAATACAAATAGTCAATGTAAAATCATTCCTTTTCCTCTAGGGCTGACTGCTAGACAGCTGTTCTGGCCTGGCCTCTGAATCGTCCCCCGGGGCCCACATGCTGAAGGCTTGGTCTCTGGCTGACGGCACTTCGGGAGTGGGAAAAATTTCCGTGAGGCCCAGTGAAAGAAACTCAGGTGACTGGGCCAGCCCCCGCAGGATGAGACTGGCCCTGGAGCACTGCCAGGAGGTAAGCAGCTTTGCTCGCCCACCAGCTCCCCCGCCAGAGGTTTGTGCCTTGGCATAGTCCCACAGTCACAGGGCCAAGTAACCACGGACTGAACCTTGAAAACCATGAGTCAAAATATTTTTTTCCTGCTTAAGGCTAATTGTATCACCTATGTTGTCACGGAAACAGAAGCCTAACACAAGAAACTGGTGCTGTGCAGGTGCTTCCATGTGCAGCTATCCCTGGTGATGTGGGTCGGAAGCCTTTGGAGTTGCTCTGCAGGCCCAACCTGGCAAAGCCTAGAAAACTAGAGAGCTTCCAACATGGAAAGCAGAGCTTCACGGGCAATGCTGGCGTGAGCTCGAAAGACCAGACGTTGACAGCAACGCAGAGGGAAGGCCAGGCTCCGAGGCTTCATTTTCTCTGCTCTTTGACAGCTGGACAGAGGCTCACTTTGTTTCCTTCAATTCTCTCATTTCAGACTTTCCTTCCTTGGAGTTCTTCTCAGGTGGTGACCTGTCCGTGCAACATCTCTACAGGGATTTTCCGAGTCACTTCCTTCCATACAGAGCACATCCACCTCCCTCTCTACCTCTCAAACACCTATTAGGAAGCCCAGGTGCAGGTGAACTGAGGAAACCGTGCATTCGTCCCAACACATCAATCTGCAGCTCTACTCCACAACACAAAGCTATTTTTAAGTCTAAACTCCAAGTCGGCTCAGTAGGGCTTACTAATCACCTGAAGTTCTATCTTCACAATGAAAGCTAATGTGATCTAACAGGTGGACTCTAGAAGTGTGTGCTGTTGGGGAGGGATCTGAAGTCCAAAAGCAGTTTTAAGTCCTTAAAGACAAAGATGAGGTTAAGAATGAAACTTCTCTTCCTTGTTATTCAGAACACCCTGCACCTCAGTATACAACGTATGTGGATCCCCGCTCCATTTTAACGTATGTTACACGTATATAACTATGACTACTCTGTGCTCTGCATCTGTCTCCACGGTGACTACAAATGTAACAGTCTGAAAACATAATACAATTAGGAAGTATTTAAAGAGCATGAATTGCCAAAGTTAATGTTAGGCAAGGCCCTAACAAATTCACCATAAAAACACACCAAGATTTATGGGCTACCTACTATGTGCCCAAATATATGGATTACACTTCAGCAGTAAAACTAATCTTTTAAAAACAATATTTGCTCTGAAAAGTACTGACCTACAAACAAAAATCATGAAGAGAATTTACCCTAACCAGGGCCCATGTAATCTGTATCTCAGAAGTAAAACAACACGGAGGGGCAGACTCCACCAGGAAAGAGGGCGGCTCCCGCAGAGGGAAAGAAGGGCCTTCTGCAGCAGGAGCACGGCTCTCAGGAGGGTGCCTACGCACTCTGGATGCCGTGAGGAAAGCCCCGCCCTCACAACTTTTGGGTTTGTGACTCAGCCACAGACGTTGGTCAAGGCAAACAGGCCCCTTCACTATTTCTGAGTAGAACATATGCAAAGCTGCTTGGCTGACTGAGATAAATTAGGTCTTTGATAAGTGAACAATTCTTTTTCCTATTTCCTCACTGAGGCGCTAAGGACTGGACCACAGAGCTCATCCCTAGCCCCCACTACCCTTTCTGAGACAGGGTCTCACTGAGTCACTACACTGGCCACACGAGGCTTAAACTTGCCTACTTCCACCTCAGGCCCCAGAGCCCTGGGATTACAAGTGTGCACCTCTACACCCTGCTTGTTGTGACTTTTATTCTTCTTTTTTTTTTTAAAGAGAGTAAGAATTTTAGAGAAATTAAAAACGATACAGAATTTCAAAACAAGATGACAGGACATCAACAACGGTTGTTATATTGCATATTATCTTCAAAGCAGTTGTTCAGATTACCAGATATAGGCATGCAAAATTGATCAAAAAATTAAGCACTAACTGTCCCTTTCAATAAACCAATAGAAATTAGTAGTACAGTTATCTTAGCTTCTCCTGTGTGTGTGTGTGTATATATATATATATATATATGTATTTTTTCCCCTTCCTTTTCTTCATTCCCCCATCCCAGTTATTCTTTCCTTTTGAGCAGTTTCTCTCCCTTTCACCATGTCTACCGGACCGTTCCGATTTTATCTCCTCTTCCAGTTTCTCACACTAGGGAGATAGTCCGATGCTTACACATGCGGGTCTGATTTACTTCGCCTATGAGCATGGTTGCACCATTTACCTATAAAAGCCCCGAGTTACTCTAAGTGCTACAGGATACTGGGGAAAAGAAACTCTCTTCAGTTTCACAATCAGTATTTCATAAAGATCCAGGTGTGGTGGTGCACACCTGTAATCCCAGCACTTGGAAGGCTGAGGCAGGAGGATCCTTGTGAGTTCAAGACCAGCCTGGGCTACAAAGTGAGCTCAAGGCCAGCCTGAACTGCACAGGGAGATCTTGTCTCAAAAAGACCCCCCAAAAAAAAAAGTATTTCATAAAGAACTATACTCACCTGCAGCCTTTTTGTGACAAGAAATAGCCTCTTCGTATTTCCCCGCAGCTAGTAACCGGTCTGCTCGTCTGCTCTGCTGATGAGCCTAGAAGACAAACACCCTAAATTCCTCTGAATTATAAAGTACACAACTGTTTAAAAGCAAAACGGAGGCTGGGGTACAGCTCATGAAGGCAGAGAGCCTGCTTGGACACCCTTTTCTCAAGACAAAAACAACTGCTCACATGAGAGATGATGCTGGTCTGTCACACATCAAATCATCATTACAGCTACATCTGTAAGGAGGGCTACTTAATGAGGAAGGCCTAGGAGTACAGGACCTGAAAGTTACCGACAGCTCCTGTCGGCTCTACCATAAGCCCCCTTTTGTGAACTCTTGGCACATATGCCTCCCTTTTTGAGGTACAAGTCCACACAGTTTAGGCTGGCCTCCACGGCAATCCTCCTGCCTCAGCTTCCCAAGTGCAGGGATTATTATAGATGTGTGCCACCATACCCTGTCACATACCTACTTTTTTGTTTTGTTTTTTGAGACAGGGTTTCACTATGTAGTCCAGGCTGTCCTTGAACTCACTGTGATCTTCCTGCCTCAGCCTGCTGGCTCCACATACCTGCTTGAGCACAGTGACATTTTTTTTTTGAAAGTACAGGTCCCAAAAGGATTCCTACTGCCAAATAGTAATAATAATAATAATAAAGTACAGGTCCCATTAAATTTTTCTATGTCAAAACCAGGGATGGTGGTGCATGCCTTTAATCCCAGCACTTGGGAGGCGGAGACAGCAGGACTGCTGTAAGCTGAGGGCCAGCCTGGGCTACACTGTCTCCAAAAAAAACCAATTCGTATCAGAAATCGAGTAAGCGCAGATTATACCAGGCTCTCTCAGCTTAAACACTATGACAGGCACGTGGTCCTGGCTAACCGTCTGCCTCAGTTCTCCCCTCTCTGAAATAAGAGTTGCTGCAAGTAAAAAGCTGTGTTACACGCATACACGGACTCTCCATAAGAAATGCAGCCATCATGTATACTGCAAACATGTACTCATAAAAAACTTTCAATGAGAGTTCTGAAAATTACTGAAGTGTCACAGCACTTAAAACGCTGCCCAGGACACAGCACCATGCAAGTCCATCATTACGCTAGTACTGCGACAGATATAAAAACGTTGGAGTTGACAATGTACTTGGGAGAACTACAGTGAATTTTTTAGAACTAAAGATACTCTAGGAAAACTACCTTGGTAGTTTCGTACTTCTATTATTTGTTGTTGTTGAGACAAGAATTTTGCCATGTAGTTCAGGCTGATCTCAACTCGGTGCCCTCCTGCCTCAGCCTACCCAAGTGCTGGTGTTACAGGTGTGGGCCACTACACCCGGCAGTAATAATTATTTTTAAAGATTTCACACTTTAATATTTTTTTTTGTACAGGGGATTGAACCCAGGGCCTTCACTGAACTACTAGTACCCCAGCCCTTTACTACTGGACAAGGTCTTGCTAAATTGTCCAGGCTGAGCTGGAACTTGTTCTCCCTCCTCAGTTACCCACGGTGCGATGGTCATTGCTGTGTGCTACCACAGCTGGTCAAGAGCTCACATTTTAAACCCACGTCTCTCTATACAGTTCTTGGCTGAATCTTATAGCCAGGTGTGATGGCACATGCTTGTAATCCCAGCACTCGGGAGGTGGAGGCAAGAGGACTGCCACGCGTTCGAGGCCAGCCTGAGACCCTGTCTCAAAACAGTAAACAAACACTAGGGGACTCGAAATAGAAGTGCCGCCTGTTTCTGCGCGCTGCTCCTCATGGGTTCCCACCGGGAGTCGTCATTCCCGGTACAGCCTTATGTGGACACCTACACATCCCGTCCTCCAAAGCTCATGCTAAAGCTTCCACTGGGGTGACACTCAGACGTGCGAGGGCAGCCCTGCGGAGGGAGGGACGGCCGAGCCTCAGAGGCCGAGCAGCGTGTCCCGGGGCAGGGCAATGGCCTAACACCCACCCGCGGCACCCCTGCTCTTCCCGCTGCCTTCTTTTATTCATTTATTTATTTTCTGGTGGTGGGACTCGAACTCAGGACCCTGCGTGTTGCCCAGCTGCACTGCATCCCCGGCCCGTGGCCCGTTCTTCGGGGTCCAGTAAATCACCCCTTCTGGCTGAAGCGCACTCAGAGAGCTCGTCTTCGGCCACCGCAGAAGCCCACGCCGGCTGGGTCGCGGGGCGGTCGCCCTCACTGCAAGCAGTCTCTGCTGCCACAGGCTAACCGTTGTAAAAGACAGGCCCGCGTCTCCTTTGCAAAGGAGACTGTACTATCACCTACAGCTCCTGGCTTACTCTTTCTGTGAGCTCGGCGAGAGCCGGATTTGAGGGCTGAAAGTCCATTACGGACGGACAGCACCACCGGCAAGCAGCAAAGACCGCTGCGTACCAACTTCACCGTGAGGTCTCCAGCGGCGGAGTTGCGCTCTCCCACTCGCTCCCAGGCCTCCTGGGAAGGCGGACGGGCCCTCCAAGGCAAGGCGCCGACCCCGGACTGTGTCCACGCAGTGGAAGTACATTCGGGATGCACGCAGGGCGCAGAGTCCCAGGAGGCCCTCTTTTTGATTGTAAATCTTAACAACAACCTCTGCCTGCAGCTCTGCCCACACTTTTTCTTCTTAGCTTCCAGTTTGCCTTGCTTTCTTCTCTCATCTCCCACGGAGACAGTGAGAATCTCAGGCCTGACCTTTCACATTACAAGATACAACTCACTAGCAAGCTGTTAAATCTACTTAGTGGGGCTAGGCGGGGTGGCGCAGGCCTATAATCCCAGCACTGGAGAGGCTGAGGCAGGAGGATTGTTGTGAGTTCGAGACCAGCCTGGGCTACAAAGTGAGCCAAGGCCAGCCTGAACTGCATAGTGAAACCTTGTCTCAAAAAGACAAAAAAAAATTCAAAGAGGAACAGGGAGGGGTGAAGGGGAAGGAAACAAGGGAAAAGTTTTAAAAAGAGAGAAAAATAAAATAAATAAAATAGCCAGCTTTTACCTCACCGATTTTTACTACCAATATAATTAACACATCGGCTGGGGCTGGGGATTTAGCTCAGCGGCACAGCACCTGCCTGGCAAGTGTAAGGTCGTGAGTTAGATCCCGGGTACCGGAATAAACAAAACAAACAAAACAATTAACATATCGGGGGCTGGGGATTTAGCTCAGCGGCACAGCACTTGCCTGGCAAGTGCAAGGTCATGAGTTCGATACCAGGAAAAATAAAATCTAATTAACATATCATCATTACAAAGATTCTAGTATGCACAGGGCCACTCCCTGGACCATGACTGGATGAGCAGCTCGGAAGCAGGAAGACTTGTTAGTGAGGGGGGAACTGGCCTTCCCAGAGGGAGGCTCAATTATGCGGTGGGGGGCCACACAGCACTCCTGAGCACCAAACAGGAAAGAACCATGGCGGTGGCCATGAACCCTGCCCACTGCGGCACAGGTGCACAAGGCATGAACAATACTCATGTGTAAACTAAGGCCTGACATCACTTCCCAAACTGTCAACCAACAAACCAAAGAATTACAGATTATCTTACTTTAAGTTTTGACATTTCCTACCAACTCACCTTGCCAAAATTCAATGCATGGAAAGAAATGCTTAAATTTATACTAAGCAATTTTCTAAATGACAATTTTCCCATATTAAGTTACAAGAGCTGAGACATGGCAGTGCATGGCTACAACCCCAGCACTCTGGGAGTTGAGGCAGGAGGGTGACAAGGTTAAGCCCAGCCCGGGCAACTTTTGTCACTCACAAGATCCTGTCTTCCAACTAAGAAAAAGAGCTGGGGGTGTAGCTGAGTGTGAAGGCCCTGGGTTCCATCCCTGTAAAGAGGGTCGGGGGCGCTGACAAGAAAGAAAAAATCTTGGTGAAATAAACTTCCAGAGGCAAAATACCTTTTCCTTCAACAAAAATACAATTTCTCTTATTTTCTCTGACCAACCTTGAAAATCAGATAACTGGAAGCCATTGTCCATACTAACTACATATTAAAATTAGTATTTCAAGCTAGTCTCTTCCATACCTTAAAAATTCACTGTGAGAAAATAAGCCCACAGGTACTTACAAACCTACCATAAATACTGCAGCAGAGCAACGCAATGCGGACACAGAAACTATAGTGCAACAAAAAGACGCTGAAATGAACATGAGTACTCATGGGAACACTGCTGGCGAGGGCATATCCGCGTGAGGTGTGAGCCACAATGTATGCACTTGAGCCACTGGCCACGTAATCACTTAATTTCTCAGTCGAGGGTTATCCATTACACAGGTAGGAAAAAGTTTTAAATTGTAAAGATGCTCTGAGGATACATGATTATAAGTCAAAGGGCTATAATAAACTCTTATACAATGAATTTGGACTACACTATGTTTTTAGAAAATACAACTTGTGGGGTAGGGAATACAGCTCAGCAGCATAAGCACTTGCCTGGCAAGCCTGAGGTCATCACTTTGATTCCCAGTACCAAAAAAAAAAAAGTATTAAAAAAAATACAAAATACAACTTGTATATACTAGTGGGATTCTCAAAGGTACAAACAGAATTATGACCGCTCGCTCATGCTGAGTCAACAATACTAAGTGGTATGTTCCCTGAGCCGGGTGTGGTGGTGCACACCTGTAATTCCAGCACTCCGGAGGCTGAGACAGGAGGATCCTTGAAGTTCAAGACCAGCCTGGTTTACAAACTGAGCTCAAGGCCAGCCTGAACTGCATAGGAAGACCCTGTCTCAAAAAGACCACAAAAAAAAAAGTGGTCTGTCCCCTGACAGGAAAGCATGAGACAATCTTCAAGTCAGGTCTGGGGGTAAAGGGCCATAATCCCAGCTACTTGGGAGGCTAAGGTGGAAAGACAGCGGAAGTTCTGAAGCCAGCCTGGGCAACTTAGCAAGATCCTGTCTCAAAAAGGAGGACCATTACAGCACAGTGCTCTCTGGGTTCAATCCCAGTACCAGAATAAATAAAAATAAACGTCAATCTCAGTTCCATTGCTACTTTCTAATACACAGGAGGCCAGAGATCAGATAAAAACTGCCGATTTCG